ATGACCACCCGACCAGGGGTGGTGGGGCAGCTGAAAAGGGGACCGGTGTGGCCGATGTCCTAGCACTGCCCTCCCCAGCCACCTGTCAGCACTGGCCCGGGGCCTACAGGGTCAGCTCAGCCACACTCTCTCCCCTGCCCCTGCGCCGGGCTGCGAGGAGCCCCCGCTGAGCTCCTGGCGTGGACCCCACTGACAGGTCCTCATCTCTCCCAGGAAGGACGTGGGCGCACCTGGCATCAGCCCTGCCACCACCCGCAGAGTGGGCAGGGGCCTCCACGGGAGCTGCGGGGACTGTGCTGAAGGCACCCAAGTGTGCCGGCTTTCAGGAAGCCTCCACACCCAGCTCTCACGCCAACACTGCCGGGGCCCGAGTGTCAGGAGGCCCCACTTGGGGCCATGGGAAGCCCGCCCTGCCTGGGAGAGGCCAGGGGTCTGCCATCCCCTCCCATCCCCCAACCCAGGGCAGGATGATGAACTTCAGGACAGGCTCCCAGTGCTGCGACACAAAACCTGGGATTCTGATAAACCAAGGCCCCAGACCACGCTGGCCCGACACGCTTTATTCAACACCACCCACAGGAGCCTCCCTCGGGGCCACGGCCTCTGTGGAGGGGCCTTCCTGGGGCCCGTGATGGCCTGGCCCCCGGCAGTGTCACTGCGGCCTCCGCAGTGCAGTGGCCGCAGTCCTCAGGGCTTTGTGCTTTGACTGGACTAGGAAGGATGCAGTCAGCCCGACCTCCTGGGCCAGAGTCCTTGGAGGGAGTGGGCAGTGAGTCCCAGCCCCGAAGGGCTCCCACTGCCATTGTCGCCCCGGCAGCCCAGGGTGTCTGGCCCGATGAGGCACCGACCCAGGCTCCCCGACCCCCCGACAGTAACGGCCGCGTGTGTGGCAGGGCTGGGACAGGGCTGGCGGGCCCTGGGGCCGCGCCGGCCCGGGGTTCGTGTCTCCAGGCTGATGGAGGGGCTGAGGGCCACCCCAAGGGCATTCCTAGGCCTGAGGGGAGGGGGCTGGCCCGGGGT